GGTTTGAAAATACACTGCAGATTTTTTTCATAATGAATAAAAATTCTAACAATGGAAACATTTTAAAACAATAATTTATTTAAGTAATAATCATGTCATGATAATCACAATCATAATTATCAACAATAGCCATGACGTTATATTAAAATTTTATTAAAAGTCGGTTATAAATAAATTATATACAGTATATTTCTAAAACGTAGGGGATGTTTCATATGTATGTCACGTGAGAGGTCTTAATATGTCGAAAAAGGACTGAAATCCCTTTTCTCCACGTCATTTCTTGATATTCATCAAGGAATTGGGTGAAAAACCGCAATCCTCCCAGTATTGGATCGTCAACTGCCCAGGAGTATTTTTAATAAACCGAATATCGTACTGGGCATGCTCTATCACCAGGGTTGACGGTAGATTAGTCATTGTCCTCTTTTCTGGCATTGTGCTCTCAATAGGCAATTATATGCCATGATCACCGGCCTTTTGTTCTAAAAGCAATGTGAATGAACAAAACCACATTTATATCGGACGCCATTTTTCCTGAATTACATAATTGAAACGCTGATTTTAAAATTATTTATAATATAGTAAACTCTTATCTTTTAACCTTAAGTAAATTTTATTAATTTGTAAAAATTCAACGAATAATGTTAATAATGTTGATAAGTTATTCAATAAAAAGAACTTCGAGGAACAAAATTGACGGCAGGATATTACCTCCGTAGAATGTATTTGTAGGTAGGAGAAAAAAACTCATCTGCAGTCTCTGAGGCAGAGGAAAAATTTAAACTAAGCAAAACGCACGAAAAATGAAACAACCGTGTTAAATGGGTTAATTCAAGGCTGAAACTTTTCCAATTATTTGAATATTTCCTATTTTGAAGATATGATGTTCGTTGATCGACCTGCAGATAAGCTACTTACGGTTCCAATCTTCCAATCAAGGAAAAAAGGCGTAGTTCGGAAAAAAGCTCAATCTTAGAGTTTACGAAATGCCTATTTTACTACATTATTTTATTACATTAATTTTTAATTGTATTTTTTGGAATTCGTAATTAAATATGCCCTGATGATGGCACTATAAATTGCCGAAAGCTCGGTGAACCCAGCATTTGGTCTTTTTTCACCCGTCTAATGACCTCTATGAAGATTGGAACCCAACATAGATTTCCTATTTTGCAACTAATAGAACACTCGACACATTAACCGATGAGGAAGTTTACTATTTCGTAAACTCCAAGATTGAGCTTTTTTCCGAACTACACCTTTTTTCCTAATTCACAGACGAATCAGAAAGTAAGCTATTGGTAAAGAAACGTAGTCAAAATAGGATCAAACTACACGGAGAGGCAAAAACAGGTAGCTATTCCTTTTTTAGTAAACAGTTTTCTAAGAGATATTAAAAATATTAATAGCGGCAATGAATGTGTGTCATACATTGTTGGGAAATCCGCTAGATATACAAATTTTATTGATACTGAAGAAGAAACATGTCATTATGTCAAAACTGTTTTGCTAAAAAGAATATTCCAGGTTGCATTATGTTGTTCCACAACCTACAGAACAAGTGATAATATTTATTATTTATTTGTTGAAGTACAGAAAAAGACCTTTTACACCTCATGACTATTGTTTTTCTCGTGTATAAACATAAATTCTTGTTAAAAACTAATTTAACTAATAACTATCTAAAATTCAGCGGATTTTATTTAATTATTGATTTTTTAGGACAGTAAGATTAATTTATTAAAAATTTTGCAAATTACATTTACCGGAAAACCGTTAGCCAAATTTCTGAAAAACATCCCTCTATATGTTTAAACATTAAACCAAAGAATTATTATACAAGAATATTTGAGTTAAATTAACATGTAAATACCTTTTTAAAACTTTTTCCTTTAAAAAAAGGTGAAAATGTAAATGGGTTTCTTTAATGCTGTTAGTCGAGTTTATACTTGTTAGGTAAGTTGTTCGGTGACTAGCATATTTAAAAAGTATAGCATTAATTTTTCATGTCTGGGCTACAAAGTTAGGGCATAATCATATCTTGCAGAACGCACTCATTCAGTGTAGGTGTCACGTGAATTGTCTTTCCAGTGAAACGTGTGTTTCACAAGGAAGTATAATAAGACCCTACATTGACGATGATTGTTTAGGGATGGTTGATTGGTTAATTTTGGCTATAATTGTGGTATATTAATTTTCGACTTGCCATTTTTTTCATAAAAAGAAAATTTTATCTTCTTGGCAAAAATAAATCCTATCAAATCTTCTTTAATCTACTTTACTTATAAAAATAATTATTCTGTACCACTGGGGTGGGTCTGGACAGAGGGTCTAATTTTTAAGGAGGGTTTTTTTTTTTGGGGGGGGGGATTTTGAAAACACTCTAAAAACAGTGATACCAGATATACAACCAATCAACAAATCGTGCTGGAGATATTGAAGTTTGCCTTCATACCAAGATAATTTTAGAGTATCATGTAACTGGTTGTTATACTTTAAAACGTGTTTACCAAAATCAAGGCAAATTAATGATCAAATTTCTTTTTTTTTAACTAGTTGGTTTTTTAAACGTAGTTAGCCCGAGAGGTCACCTATAAAATGCGATAAAACGCTCGTTGAAACTCAGTGGTAGCTTAAACTTTTGAGTAATCAGTTTAAACTACAATCAATAAAATTTATTTTTAAAAAATAATAGTTAAAAAATCTAAAAAATATCATATATTAAATAAGCAAGGTATTTTTGAATAACAAAGGTTATTTCTTACTATTAATTAAGGTTTTTAGTTGAGATAAAAAAGTCAGTGTCACGAGCGGGATTCGAACCCACGATCTTCGGCTAGATACGCCGATGCTCTACCACTTGAGCTTTCGACACCTCGATCCACTCGGACACCAACTTCCCATCTCAACCCCACCTTTTGAATTACCCCACCTCGGCAACAAATGAAATGGCCACGGAGGGCTTTAATGAAGGTATACTTCATTTAAACTTATTAAATTCACTAGTTTTCGTGGTCCGCTTGACCAATTAAAACCAAATAAATTATACCTTAGTGTCCGAGTGGATCGAAGTCACGATAGCTCAAGTGGTATAGCAGCGGGGTATCTAGCCGAAGGTCATGGGCTCGAATCCCGCTCATGAGACTGACTTTTTTATCTCAACTAAAAATCTAATTAATTGAAAGATATTAATTGGTCAAGCGGACCATGAAAACTAGTGAAGTTATTTCTTACTGTAATAACAAAAGTTAACAAAAAATTGTATTATGTGTTTTTGTAAAATGTTAAATATGGCCTCAAAATGATAATATTTCAAAATCTTTTGTAGCCTTTGTATTATTTCCTAAAGAAGAAACTTTTCCCATAATTTCAGTTTTTTAATAGAAAAGTGGGCTGAGAGATTCTCTGAAGTATCACTAACGCTGTCGATGGATGGCCCTGGAGGATCTGACTCGTAGAAGACGGGTCAGGCTCACCCGATTGAGAATAGGCCATGCGAGGTTGACACACGGACACTTTTTTTTCGGTCAAAGCCCGCATATGCGTCGATGCGTCCCAATTAATTGAAGGGCGCCTTCTTAGATGTATGTACGGGGCCATGACTTTCATGCAGAGAACGCTTATCACTGCCACCCGATATTAGAACTATGCAGCAGTTAACAACAGATATCTGCCCATTCCGACTTTTAGCGGAAAGATGGCTTTTTTACAGATATATTGTCTTGTGTTTCTTGGTATATATTAAGACTGACTGTATTTATTAGCTTGAATGTGAGTGTGAGAGATTGAGAGGGCCGATGGCGGAATATTGAATATCCCGTCAACCATCAATTAGCTATATAATGTAACCCCTATGTGTAAGAGGGTGATGGAGGACTATGAAGTATTCCACCACCCAACTGAGCGAATAGTATGTAAATAAGAAATAATGTATTTAAGAGTGAGTGGGAGGTGAATGGGTTTGGGTGTAGGAACTGATTGCGTTGAGGGCTGAAATGACCTAGTTGTTGATAGCCCTTGGGGCCCAACTTCGGTGGCTTGACGGATAAGGCCGAGGTTCTTCATAAACCCAGAGTTGGTGATTCTTGAGCCATTCCGGTAATTTGTTGAAAATTACAAAAGCTGGAATTGCCGGCGGACTTGACGTGATAGGCATAGTTCGGCACCCATGTGTATGTATGTACATCCCTGTGCAGTGTTGGGATAATATAAATTATTAATCGGTTAATACACATTTTGATATTGTCTATTTCCTGAAATATCATGGCCCACTGTGCACCGCTCCAGCTACAAGGGAAAATCATTGAAACTAAGACATGGCAAGATACCTTGGAATGACTAGACAAAAAGCTCGGCGTGACCAGTCAGATGCTGTCCAGAGAGGGAATAAAATACCTGCAGTCAATGCTAACCAACAACGTTCAACCTGAACGCTAATGTATGGCCTCTTTGGCATTAATAAAACTGTATTGTTTGTAATGAAGTCCTCAGCGACAGATTCTCCAACTAAAAAAGTCCAAACTGTCCAAAATCGGGCTTTAGAGTAAATAGTGGACGCACATTGCTTCGTCAGTAATAGTCAACTGCAGCAAATGTATAATATACATTCTACTAGTTTCTAACACTCAAACAAACTCTCACTCTCAACACGACACGCAAGAATGGCACAATTACACAGAAGACAAACACTTTGAGCCCTGAAGATGATCTCAATAAAGATCGAAACGTTGGCACGATAAAGAAAATGTTTTTCTGAAACCTACATCACACCAGACCGCATCTCACGATTTCTGAATAATTACTCAAACAAATTTACCGCGTTGGAAGAATGACCTTTATTTTACATTATTCATAATCATATGATTTTTTATGTTATTCTATTTTTCTTTAGTACTTAATTTTTTGTGATTTGTCATTACGCACTTTTCATCACATATAGCAAATTCATTATTACATCTTTGTTTACTACTCTAAAGTGTTATTGTAACGGTACTTACGCGTAACTCCTTTTTCCAGGTCTTCGTAGAAGGCGAGGTGAGCTAGGTTGTTAAGCAAGGACTGCGGTATCCTCGCTAGAGAGTCGATCCTCCTTAGCCGGCCGCAGATCAAGTCCACGTCCCTGCACGTCCTCTCGCTGGGCCTGGAAAAAAAGATTTTTGAAGGAAAGAAATTTAAAATTCCGAATCTGGGGCTTGCTTGAAGTCGAGGAGAACCGCCAGACGAAACCCGGGCCTCGTCGTTGACTACGACCGGCTTTCAACTTCTTGAACAAATTCACTAGTTTTCAAGGTCCGCTTGACCAATTAATATCTTTCAATTAATTAAGGTTTTTAGTTGAGATAAAAAGTCAGTGTCACGAGCGGGATTCGAACCCACGATCTTCGACTAGATACGCCGCAACTCTACCACTTGAGCTATCGTGGACCTCGATCCGCTCGGACACTAACTTCCCATCTCAACCCCAGCTTTTGATTTTTTTTTTTTTTTGAAAAATAGCAAAAAGGAGGGAAAATTCAAAAGGTCGGCTGAGATGGTGTCCGAGAAGATCGAAGTCACAATAACTCAAGTGGTACAGCAGCGGCGTATCTAGCCGAAGATCGTGGGTTCGAATCCCGCTCGTAAAAACTTTTTATCTCAACTAAAAACCTTAATTTTTTGAACAAACTTCAAAAGCGGTCTGCGTAGTTTTTTAAACAAAGAACTAAAAATTCACCAAAAACCTAGCTAAAGTTGGAAAGTAATTAAAATTATACTGGCTTACTTCCTACCTCAATATATTTTATGTACAGGACGAGTCTTGAACCGAGAATTTTTAAGAGAGAAATAATGTTTATTTTTTTCGCCTAGTTCGAACAGTTAAACTGAAAATTGTTGGCGATTTGTTATACATTATTTGTTAAAATACTGCTCTGAAGCCGTTTCAATTCAACTCAGAGGATTTTATTTGGTTTCAATATATTTCCATTCGATCAAATAAACGGCTTTTGTTTGTGCTTGTCTGCACGGTCCATTTCGGTTGTAGGACTGAATAATTAAATAAAAAGTTTATCAAAATCATTGAGGATTGTCATTAAAGAAATTAACATAATAATTTGTCCTATAACCAAAATAATGTACACGAGTTAGCATTCGTGTTTCCCTTTGCAAAAATCTCGTTTTAATTCTCTCTTGGAGTGTGAAAAAGTCATCATAAAATAGAACTGAGCCAGTTATTAATAAATTATTTCCACGTTTACCGCTCCAAAATTTCCTTTCGAAAAGAAAAAGCATAGAGATTCGCCCTTATCAGTCGAAGTACGGGTGTAATTTAAATATAGACAGGGTCGTTTAGAGATTCGTACTAGGTTCATGTTTTATTTTGTTTTAATCCCAGAAAGTACAAAGTGGCCCCAGGGCGTGGATTTGGATTGCAATTAGCAATGCAAATTTCCAGCGGTTAAGCTAGAATCTGTCAAAGGTTTAAGCCCCCCTTCCACCCGGCATTTTGTCAATCTGTGGTGCACGCTTGCAACGACACGATTCGTAATTATGTCACATGCGGATGTAAGTTTTAAATTAATTTAACGTATTAATTTTTTTTAGTTTTATTTCGGGTTTCAAGCCCATCCTGTTTTGTCCGCTTGTTGACCAAACCTCTCGGCTTTGTGCCAACGAATACTTACGTAAATACATCTCTTGTTTACAATCGGTTGTAACTAATAATCCGTCTCTTTTAAGGTATTTGAATTCATATAGCTGATAACCCCTTTGTAAAATAACCTTGTAGACTCAATTTGAATTTTTAGTTTCCTGTTTGTTATTTATTTATTTAACGAAAGTTCGCAACACCAGAGGTTATATCAATCCTCGGGGTGCCTGTGTTTTTGAAAAAAAGCCCATTTGTAAGTATGTCGGGTTAGAATGCAGGGCTTCTGGATTCGAACCCGGGACCTTTACCTTACAGTGACGAGCGCCGTGTCAACGCCGAAACCGTTGCGGCCACCGACGCCCCCTTTGTTATTTATTACTTTTGGTTTTGTACTCTAGGCCTTTTTAAAAAACAAATAAATATGAAAAAAAGTTTGAAGCCTGGTACACTGGGAAATAATTTTAATTTTAAACAATGAATGGTGAAATAAATAAACATGTTTCCATGAAAGGTTCGTTGCTTATACTTGGTCATTTTTATGTTCTCTACTCTACATAAAATAGGAATAAAAGCATAAAATGGCAATGGCAAATAAAAAGATCTTTAATCAAATCTAATTATTTTTATTTTTAATTGAATTTTTAATTGGAATAATTATTATAGTCAATTATGGCCACTAAACAAATATGGATTATCTTATAATTATAATTAATAAATAATAAAACCCTGGCGGTTATTTTATTTTTTGTATAATTGAATAAATTTCGAAAAGTGAAGTAAAAAATGTATGACGCCAGAAGACCCCACATAGTTTCCCAACCTGTATAACCATCAGATTTAAAAATATTAATTTCAAACAAAGAAGTAGTAAAAGAAGAATTGAAAAACCACTGGGTCCGAAAAATAAAAATGACCCTGCAAACTGTGGCATCGTAGGAAAGATGTTGGCACCTGGTCCACGGAGAACGGGTTTTTAAAAAGGGAAATGCCAAACTGACAAGACTACGCGTAGGCCATACAAGAATAACGCAAGAGTACCTTCTGACCGGAAAGCGACTTCATATGTGGCCGTTATGCAAGGATAGAATAACGGTCGGGCACATATACAATTCTAGAAGCCATATAGACAACATTTTGGCATATGGTCAGACCTGAGTGTAGTCTTAGGATATGGCAGCAGTCACAGATCGTTGATCCGGTACCTCAGGGTATAGAGATTTTTAAGTGTACATTGAGGTTTTTGCGTACTTAATTTGTGTTTATGTTAATTCATTAGAATGAATATAATTTAATATCATGAAAGGAAGGAGTGTTGACGCCCCCAAAGAATATTGAGTACTTTGGGGTATGTGACGTCTCGAAAGAAAAGTAAGTTATTAGCGACAATGAAGTGGAGTCAACCCCACTCTGAGGGTTTCAATGTAATTCAAAATATGATATAAATATTGCAGCAATTAATCAAGTAATCTTAAAACAATATGTTCATTTATAAGTCATAAATATTGTTAATTGTATATAAATCGTTTTACCTTCAAGTATGTACTATGTGTTATTTACTGGAACGAATGTTTATTTGCGAGAATAAAAGTCTTGCCAGCCACTACCAAAAGTATTGTTTATTTCATATTACCAGAGCAAGAGTATCGTTGTTCCAAACTTTAAAGAGACCAAATAAAATTTTTAACAAAGGCTGTTTTTAAATTAAAAATCCCTTCAACGGATATTTCTTATGATTATTTGGTTTAAACCTAAACCTGTTACCATTAAACCTTAGAAGGGAGCAAATTGATTCACTTCTCCTCTATAGCCTTATCAATGGCAAAATTAATAGTCCCCGATTGTTAAGCCAAATCATTTTCAATGACAGCTCTCATAACAGTCGAGATCACCTTCCTTTATCAGTTCAAACTCAAAATCAAATTTATATATATATAATATTATATTATATTTTATTTTATTAAATTTCCATACATGTATTAACTCATTTAACTGTAACTGTTCCCCCATATTTTCTAGTTCACTAGTTTTCGTGGTTCGCTTGACCAATTAATATATTTAAATTAATTAAGGTTTTTAGTTGAGAAAAAAAGTCAGTGTCACGAGCGGGACTCGAACCCACGATCTTCGGCATTGAAGATGACCTCAATAAAGATCGAAAAGAGTTGGCACGATAAAGGAAATGTTTTTCTGAAACCTACGTCACACCAGACCGCATCTCACGATTTCTGAATAATCATTGAGGATAATAAGCAAACGTGTTGTACAAGTGGCTTGACCACTAGTCATCAATACCAACGACAGGAATGATTTAATTTAATTTATCTATATGTTTAACGATTCAAGGGAACACAACATTTTTAAATTGGATCAAATATGTTCACTATACTCATGCATTTTTCAAACATTCACGGGATTACAGGATTTTAAAGCTTATTTATTTACTATCAGATGGCATTGGTTAGTATTATAGAAATTTAAAAAAAACTGTAAAACGTAAAAAATGCACTTTTTAAAAGTAAACTTTTTATTTCCCCAATTATTTCAATTCAAAAACATAATTGAGTTTAATTTATGAACATATTTGCAATGTAATTTTACAATAAACTCTTTTAAAAGAACCTAGATTTGATAAATTTGAAAAAATAGGATATTTTTGCATAATTTTTACGTCAATTAAACATTGGGTGTACAGAAAACATTGATATTTATAATTTGGCAGGTTGTCGAACAATTCGAACATAAAAATCTATCGAAAAACAAGAAATTTTATAATGTATTAATTTTGCTATCATTTCTTACAATAAATATTTATAACCATTAGATTTCGTGGTCCGATTGACCAAATAACATCTTTCAATTAATTAATCTTTATGTAAGGTATTGGTTGAGAATAAGAAAGTCAGTGCTACGAGGGGGATTCGAACCCACGATCTTCGGCTAGATACGAAGCCCCGAGCCGCTGCTCTACCACTTGAGATATCGTGACCTCGATCCACTCGGACACCAACTTCCCATCTCAACCCCACCTATTGAATTTTCCCTCCTAATTTATATTTTATACTTTACTAATTTATACTTTAATTTTTCATTAAATGTTGTTTTTAGATTTCTTTATAATGATAAAATTAATTTTATTATGATTTCAAAAAATTTATTACTGTACAAAGTTTAAATTTATAATTTGACCTTTATTTGTGGTATATTTGGCATCATATGGCAATTATGGTATTCTTTAATTTCTATTTTATCTTTATTTGAATTTATTGCATTTTATTTTATTTTTGTTATATCTTCATTATTTTTAATTTTCCTTTCATTTATTTGGTCTTATACACTCTCTCAGCCCTTTTGATTTAATTTTTAGCAATTTTCTTCACTGATATAACTCCTGCCACCTGTTACAAGCACTGCTTTTCGGTGACAGGCAAAAATGTGCGGATTGGTTAAATGACTTACTTTTACAAATTACTTAGGGTTTTATTATTTTATTCTTAAATTTATGTTTTATCTTA